TCAATTTAAAATACGATTAATTTGTTTCGTTTCATAATATTATCGTAAAAAATGTGCTATTTAGCACTTTGTGTGATAATTATACACATATTGATTTAAGCTTTCGGGGATTAGTTTATTACAGCGTGAAATTAACCTTTAATATCTCGATAAGATGACTCGTCTTGGGCCGTGGATGTCGGATTACACCAAGTCCATCGACCATCACGCGTAAGACTGTTCAACAACTCAGAAGATGATATAAATAAACGGATTTAAACGAAAACATCACTACTAAAAGTCAAGAACAGCACGTGAAGTTACCCAAGTCCGACACACGTGAGAGGATGGCTTAATCGGAGACTCGTTCAGTAATGAAACGACGATGACAACCCTGTAGTCGGCTATAAATCGAGGCCAAGTACTCGACGTGACAGCTCAAAACTATGGAAGACATCACTATACTTTGGACAGAGAACATTCGATACGAGTCACGGCTGTTGTGTGTATTGTGCCTACCCATACATCATATGACGTGTACGTTGAGTGTGTACAATAATAATAATCGTTCAGATAAAATTTGTATAAATAATATGTTCCGTTTTCGTTTAACGATTCTCTATCTCTATCGTTACAGCGCCTCAGCGATGATGCTCTGTGACCCATTACGAACTCCGGCCCCCTCGACGTTCGGGAGCGGAAAATTGTGCGAAATAGATAAGTACACACTTCGTTCTACCCATTAATCACTAGAAACACTTCATCATTCCCGTTCTAGTGGCAAATTCCGAGAATTCGAGTGACGTACAAAGGGCGAAAGACACAGATCGCGCACACTAGACCGTCGTCGGAAGGACCTGGCACGTTAAACGAATTTCATAATTCACTGACTCTCTGCAACGGTCTTTCCAAAGTTCGATACACCTCCACCGGACAACGTCTCGACTATCATCTCAATCGGTATGATGGTTGCTCAATGGACCGTTTCGATAATAATTATTGCTTGGAGTTTACACTTTTGGAAATGAACTGCAGACGTTGCTTTATAGTTCCGGAAAAACCTACCACCTGCAGGTCACGGAATAATATTGCAAACTATTATCATACCGCCTAAGTAAACTTTACAATTACTTACATAGGTATTAAATCCACGGTAACCGGGCCGTGGGTTCAAATCCCGTTCTAGTCATTTCGCATTAGAATTATCGTTTATACTTAATATAATTATTATTATGAGACAAAACCACAAGGATGTAATAAATTAGGTATATTTATCGGAGTACTATATATTTATATTATCCGAGTTAAGACTATTAATAACCGACAATGGAAAATGGGTTTAATATATTAATAAACCAAACAACTATTACACCACACTACTACAACTTATATAATATATTATAGGCCATTTATCTTCATATAAAAGAGTATAACTTTCCGTTAACGTTTTAAAATTATATATTTTTTAATTTATAACGTACCATAATTATATAATGTTATGTTATATCGGTAATATAATATTGTTAAATGCTAATATAACATAATTTAAATGATAAAACCCTTCACGTCTATAGTTTCAACTTTTTGATATTATATTGTAATACTTAAAATTATAACTTTTTACCTTTTTTTTTTTAAAAATTTGTAAGAACATACAAAAATCCAATGTAAGTTTGTTTTATATTATATTATGTTTTCAGAAAGTGTCGCGTGTATGATACGCTGCTGTTAGAACAATGCCTCGACCGATAAAAAGTAAAAATAAATGGTGTAAGATACGATGCCTAGTAAAAGTGTTGAGGGATGCATGTCGTGTGCACGTGGCGATTTCAAAAGCTTGGAAATTTTAAACTATCGTACAACAATTAAAAAGGAAAAGACGCTCAGCCGGTTTCGCCACGGGCGAGTTTTGAGAACATTTGAAAAGACAAATAAAAGATTATACTCAAACACACACACACAAACATTGTGCACACGTGTGTAATGTACAAATATCTACTATTCTACATCTTTATACTCATATAATATACCTATGTATAATAACATTTTGAACATATATCTATGAATAATAATTCAACTAAACCATATACCATACCTAGGTAGTGTTAATGTGTCTTGGCGTTATAAACGTAGACGAGTGTCATTATTAATCCACATTCTGGCGAATTAAATATAATTCGTCGTAATTATATCTGGGTGATGTATGATAATGTACAAAGTGTGTAGGTATATATAATGAATAATATGTGTGTACTTGAAAAAACAGTCAAGTATAAAAAGTAGGTTGTTTAATTCGATGCGTTGTATGAGTGTACAAGCACAGACTTTATGAAAATAGTCAGTTTTCGTATAGCCTGTGCTGCAAACAAACATATGTGTATGCATTTTTGCACGTGACGTAGGTAGGACAACCTTTGTCGCTGTCGGTAATTCAATGGAATAATAGTAATAATGGAATAATATGGTAACAACAACGGTTGTGTTATGATAATAATGCAGTATTTTTATAGTAAACATAAAATTATGTTAATTATATAATAGTTGCGTGAAAACTGTGTTCAGACTCGGCTTAAATATCATCGAGACTTATTACTACTGTAGATACCGGCTCACAGAGTCTCAAACAAAAAGCATACTATAGATTAAAAAACAAAAAAAAATGATTTCAATATAATTATCAAGGACTTGTATTTGCATATTTGTTTGCTCATTAGATTAAAAAGTAGATTAGATAAGCTACAAATTCGAATCGAAGCGTAATAATTGTGTGGGGAATATTTCTTCTGAATTTTCAAAAAAATTTTCTATTAACCCTCATACTTCAAAATTGTTCAAAAGCAAAATGGGTATCTGCATTTACTTGGGGATTGAAATGAAGACACGAACAAATGTCTGAACATGAATTTTGTACGCATGTTTGTTTTCACTAAAAGATATATTTTCGCATTATAACCACAGAATCAAAATTTCATTTCACGGATCATAAAAGTGTCATTTTTAATATTCTAATATTAATTCTGGTGCTTAAACCGGTAATTTCAAGACTTTCAAAGGTTTTTACCCCATACCTACCAATATTCATGAATTTCAAAAATGTTAACATTATAGTTGATGATTTTTATTTTATCGCAATCCGTTTAAAAATGTCATTGAATCGAAACAAACTGTTGCTTAGGATCTAAAATATTAATATTCGATAAACACCTAAAAAATATCAGTGAATTTTAGTTTTGCAACGAATTTGATGTTTATAAAAATAAAACGTTGGTGAATAAATGAGCATTTTTCTCAGTAAACCTACCTATGTTATGAAAAAAAAAAAAAAAAAAAAAACCGTGAAATAACATTTCAATTACGTGGAAAACTTTATGCCAAAGCTATTATCGTCGAAACACGTATTTAATATTTAACGGTGAAGCTTTAACACACATTCTTTTAAGTTAGTATGTGACCGCGTTTACGACAGCAAACGAACCGTATTTGATGTGTGTAAGTTTGATGTTAGCAAGTTTGTCAAACGACATAAAAATAATGGCTTCGACATTTCGTCACACATCTTGAACACATTTTTGATTTTATGATTTAGTAATCAAAGAAACATTTGACTACACTTAATACCATTTTAAGTACCCATTTCGTTCATCTTAGAGTCAGATTTTCTTTAGAATCTCATAATATGACTGTGCAATGGTTTTATTCAGTTAAAATTATAAATCTAAAGAAATCAAGTATGGTTCATTTAAATTTCATCTAGTACTAATTTTTTCAGTACCTAACCTAAATGATGACTTTAATATACATTATTCATACATTTAAAAAAAATGATTCATAAATTTGATTACAATTTTACTATGTTGCTTTACTTATCGAAATTATGTAGAGTTTAGCAATTTAAAAATTATTTCACAAGATTATACTACCCATATCATGTTTATTGGAATTATTAGGTACATATCAAACATTTTGAAAAATCTTTGCTAAAATGTATTTTGATGGGGAACGCTATTTATAAAAATGTCTAATAAAGTAAACTCAAATGGTTAACCGGGCTCTCAGGGGAATCTTTTTATTCGATGTGGTAAATGACTTTGTTATAATAGCTTCAAAACGTCTGATATTAATACATAAAATATATCCCCTTGATAAAGTGAGTAATTAGAGTTGACAATCTGAAAACACCTGTTCTCGGAGAAACTAACCCATAAGTATAATATGATAATGGAAATGCATAGGGCTTAACATTATTATTAGATTGATTACAGATGGCACTGACTATTATTAAACACTTTCCAAATAGATAGATTTGTGTTTATTTAGACCTCATCGCAGCTTCATGAGCACTGACATTTTAAATTCAAGGGATTAATAGAGTTTATTAACTGGTTATAATGCACACCATATTTAGTAGATATGATAATATGAGTATGTGTAGTATATATATATGTATAGCTTGATATACCATATTGTTACATTATAACCATAAAACACAGGCAATTTTGGTGTGTAAACTATAATATTATTTACATAACACCGCAATCGCCAAAACTAAATAAACATATTTATGTATCTATATATATATAGATTTACATATCTGCAATAGCGAATCATTTATTATTGTTCATATTATGTCATTTATAACCTTTCACGAAGTTCTGCTTACGGTGAATAAATAAATAATATTCTCTCCTACATTGTGAAATTGTAGGTACCACATATTGCCATTAATGAAGTTATATTTTAAAATTTAAAGTAACTATAGAATTATTATACTTTCCTGAAATATCATAAAATACATATATGTTGAATATGCTCAGTAGTTATAACGGAGGTATACAAATTATACTATTGACTATATTTATTATTTTACAACGGATTTATCGCGTATTGAATTGTGTTCATATAGGTGTAGTTCCGATATCGAAAAATCAAATACGTACCCAATGCCATACATGATTTATGAAACTCACCTTGTATATAAATTAGAAGTTGTGTTAGAGAAAAATCATAATCACAGTGCTTACCTGGAGTTCATCCAACAGTACACGATAGGGTTGTGCATAGAATTAGACATCGCTAGCCAGTAAAAGGCCAGATATACGTCTTGTATGTACGGTGCGTTAGTCAATTCCGGCATATGAGATGTGACAATGAAGTAAATGTGGTAAGGCAGCCAACAAATGGCGAAAATCGTCACGACAACGATCATCATTTTCACAACCTTCAAACAGAATTAAATACATTTTACCACGTGAAAAGTACATCAGATATAGAAAATATTTGTATTTTTGCATGGCTTGAAAAATATTATAATTTAGTTGGAATACCGACCAAAGTTAATAAGACTGATAAATAATTATCATGATACAAAAAATATAAGACTTTTGATTGTTACAAAAATATTATATCATATATTTTGGATCGTACAAAAATTGAAAATAATAATATTGACAGTACTGCTGAGATTTAAAAGCTAAAAGTACAAACATAACTAGGAATTATTTCAGACTATGTTTAATGCTTTTTAATAGTCATGTAAATCAGTGACGTAGACATGATTTCTGAAAGGGGGGGGGGGATAAAAAAAAAAACGTAATAGCTAATGGGAGGGAAAAATTGGAAAATACCCCACTCTCTCAAAACTTTTTACTAAGGTAATAAAAAGATGATCTGACACCCCCCCCCTTTGTCTACGCCACTGATGTAAATATGTAGTACCTGTTGTAGGTACAAATAATTTTTGTTGTAATTTTGTTAGTCGTATGGTTAGGTTAGGTTAGGTCCGCAAGTTACACGAAACTACATTTGTAAATTACATGATTTATGTTTCAATATTGATCGAAAACTGTGTTCAGACGTTTTATACATTCATATTATTCATATTTTTTCTGACACAAATGCACATTCTAATTGTTTGTAATAGTAATATGCAATTACTTATTCAATTAGACGAACCAATGTTTATTATGATTGGAAAAAATCTACACTATTATAAGTTATTATTTTATACACATATAAAGGGGTCAGGTTAGGTTAGGACAAGTTAACACATTTAAGTACAATAGTTAGGTAGGTACATAAAGTCATGTCAACATTTTAATATAATGTATGTAATTTACATTATAATATATATAATTATTACAAACAGTTATAACATTTTAAATAAATATGCATTTGTTCACTTTGTCTCAAAACAGGTAAACTTCTCGGTTAATAATTGAATTACTTAGATAAATATTTATCTACAATGTTGTACAACTGCCATCTTGTTGAATTAATAATTTTCAGAACACCACTGATACTCATAATATTGTAGAATTATTAATATTATTTACTTTCAGTTATAAGAAGTCTAATGTGATTAACCCCCAATGAAATAAATACACATTTATAGTTTTTTGTTTATTTAACACCCAAATTCGTATCAAAAGAATACTACATTTTCCATGTACCAGAACATTTTTAGAATTTCAACAATGATAATTATGTTATTTTACAAAAATTGATTCTTTTCATCCGTTATCAAGTAACAGTAATCGATTGTAAAAAAAAGTTGTTGAAAAATAAAATGAAACCCTATAAAACATATTATTATAACTTATAGAATGAATATTATAGAATTATTTTATTTTAAAGTTCTCTTAAGACGTGCTAGAATATATTAGATTAGGAAATTAAATTATTTAATAATTTGAAAATGTTAATTTTATTTTATTCGTTGAATTAAACAACGAATTATTTAATCTAAATATTACTTAAATAAACCTACTTAGACTTGGTGTCTGATATATAAATACATTTCTATATTGTTGTTGGATTTTGTATTAAGTGGCTATTGGCTTAATAATGATGTGTATGGAGTGAAAAAAAAACGTTTATGTATTAGGTACCTAAATAGATCAAAAAGTGATGACAAAGATAACAGATACTTTATACTTTAAAAGGCAATTCGTCAAACTTCTCAATAAGCAAAAAACGTATATTTTGGAGAAAAAAAACCGTGAATTTATGTTAATACCCTCCAATTTGTAACAAAACATAACAGTTAAGAGGACGCTATACCCGCATGTGTTGTCTCCGTCTTACAAATGTACAACATATCAAAAACTATTTTGCGCGGGAAAGAACCGAGAAGGCTACAGTCATAACTAAGAAACGAAATTTTCACCACATAAAAAGGAGAACTATGGCTGTGCAACGTTGTTTTTATTTTTTTGATATCACTTATATGAAAAAAGTTCTTACTGTTTAAAAAACAGTTTTGTTTGTGTTTTTCAAACTTGAAAAACTTTTTTCATATAAATGATATCAAAAAATAAAAACAACGTTGCACAGCCAAAGCTCTTCTTTTTATGTGGTGAAAATATCGTTTCTTAGTTATGATTGTAGCCTTCTCGGTTCTTTCCCGCGCAAAACAGTTTTTTGCTATGTTGTGCATTTGTAAGACGGAGACAACGCATGCGGGTATAGCGTCCTCTTAACATTGCTTTACTCTGAACAGTTTTTGGAATATAATATTTTTTATTTTATATATGGCTCACTCAATTATTGTACATAATTTTTGGGCGAATTTAAGTTCCTACACTAGAGTAGCAGGTACACAAAATACATACTTTAGTCAATACACGATAGAAAAATGTACCTACATATGTAAGTTCCAACACGGTAAAAACCAGGTACGTATGTTAGTTCCTGCACTGCAGAAAAGGTTAAATATGTATATACACAATTAAATGAGTATATTCGAATTTAAAAAAAATAAATATTTGATGATTAAAAAATATAATAAAAATCGTTATAGTGCATTTTCAAAAATAAATATAATATAATAATATGGTGATTAAAAAATATAATAAAAATCTCATAATACAAAATTTTATATTTTATGAGGTTTATTTCTATAATTTAAAAACTTAACAAAATCGTATAGATTAATTTTGTTTGTTGTATAATCTGAAATATTTTTATTTATGAAGTCTTCTTTTTCGGCATATTTTTTTACTGATTTTTGGTTTTTCGTTACTTATTATGGTTACGATTGTGTAAAGTCGATTGTGTTAAATTCTTAAGTTATAGAAATAAACCTCATCAAATATAAAATTTCGCATTATGCGATTTTTATTATATTTTCTAATCACCATATATTTATTTTTAGATTCTGAGTGAAACGATGAATGTATTGATTTTACAATGATGTGTGTTTTTTATTTTTTTTTTTATTTTTTTATTTTTTATTTTTTTTGTGTCTGTCATCACGTTTTAGGACAGTAAAAGTGCTTGGATTTTCTTCATCAGAAGCTTTTCTGATAGGAAAGTGAATCTAGTTGGTACTTTGGGGGTCAAAAGTATAAATTTCCCAGTAGTTTTCACAAGCGCCGGGAAAAACAACATAAAATTAAGGAAAAACGGAAATTTTTACGCAAAATTGGTTTTCCAAAAAATCGATTTTGGTTTTTGGTGTAACTCTGAAACAAATGAACGTATATACATGAAATTTTCACTGGTTGTTTATATTTGCATTTTCTATACACGATAACATTTTCAAAATATTTTGATTTATTTTGAACTGTTTAGGGACATTTTCATTTTCCATTTTTTTTTAGTTTTTTTTCTAAAAATATCAATAAAATTTTATTTGTTGGTTGCGAAAGCTTGAAAATGTAATAGAAGGCTCCTAATATATTGCTTCAAAGGCAGATGAAAAATATTAAAAATCCTTAGTCACAATTTTTTTTTATAAGCATTTAAAGTTCAAAAATTGACAAAATATGGGAAAATCACGAAAATTAGCAAATTATTTTGAGTTAAGAATTCGTAAAAATTTTTCTTTTTAAATCTAAGATTTGAAAATTAAACACAAGATTCCTTATAAGTTTGTCTACCTTTATCAAAAGAAAAATGTTTATAAGAAAGTCAAATTAAATTTTTATGAGCGTTTGAAATTCAAATTTTTACAACATTGAATATTCACTCGATTTCCCATGTAGCGATTTCCTTATTTTGTTGTAATTCAAAAACAAATAACTGTAGATACATGAAAATTTCACTGAATGTTTAAATTAGCATTTTCTATACACCATACAATTTTGAAAATATTTTGACTCTTTTTGAGCTGTTTATGGACATTTACAGCTTTCAATTTTTTTTAGTTTTTTTTTCTATAAATATCAATAAAGTTTTATCTGTTGGGCCAAAAAGTGTAAAAATTTAATACAAGGCTCCTGATATATTGTTATAATATCAGTTGAAAAATATTAAAAATACATAGGCACAGTTTTTTTTTATAAGCATTTAAAGATCAAATTTTGACAAAATTTATCAAAATCTCGAAAATTATCAATCATTGTAATTAATAAATTATAAAATGTTCAGTTTTTATAGCTAAGGATTGCAAATTCAACACAAAGGTTCTCGTAAATAGTTCATACTGTAACCAAAAAATCTAAAAAATATATGAACACACTTATTTTTTACAGACATTTTAAATTCAAATTTGGACGAAATTACATATTAAAAAACCTAGAATAACTATTTTAGTTATTTTGTTGTGATTGAATAATATTATTCGTGGATACTTGAAACTTCTAAAGTGTACTATTATATATCTATGATAGTATCACGGTTTTTGTTGATGTATAACGCGTTATAAGTACCTAATGGATATTTTGATATGATTAATTTGGAATTTATTATAGGTACCCATTATAGGTCAATTTTTTGTTTAATACCATAGATATGTATATAATATGTCTTATACATAGACTGACATACCGTCTGCGCTCAGAATCGTTTTTCTTATACAATGATATTATATCGTTGAATTCAAATTTAATATCATCCATTATACAGTGACCCACTTGTAACCTACTGTACAGCAGAGCGACACCCACTTGCCCACCTTTTTTAAATTCTTATTCACATAATGCTTAACCTTTTCCACTGTGTAGGAACTAACATACGTACCTGGTTTTCACCGTGTAGGACGTATGTAATTGTTTACCACTCTCGTCTAGGAACTTACTATTCCCCTAATTTTTAGTCGTTAGTTTGGTACTGTCTTATTATATTATTATTATTTTTTTTTATAAAAAAAATAATTAAAAATAGGTATAAGTGATCGCATAATATTATGCTTATTGTAGCTAATTATATTTGAGCACAAATATTATATTTAACCAAAAAAAACAAATGAACAAATTTTTTATCGTCTTAAAAATGTGT